TCTAGTAATATATCCTTTTTGTCTCTAAAACATCTTCAAATTTTTATTACTTTTCTATACTTTAAGATTTTTATGCCAATTTATTAACTGCAATACTGGACACTCCTGAAGTATGCAAAGATCTTGATTGATAGAAAGCTGTAATATCATAAGAATGAATAATTAAACAAGTCTTCAAAAAAGCAGTAAATATTTAATCTAAGAGGAATTTTCTTATTAAGAATGATGCTCTTTTGAAAGAATTCTAATGTTGTACAGTGTAACCCGGATATAAGAGAGATTTTATCTGGTCCCAAATTAGAGCCTGTGTTAATGTATATAAAATAGACCAAACCCGGATATAAGAGACTTCTTCTCCAGTCCCGACAACTCTCTTATATCCGGGTTACACTGTAGTGATATTTTATTCCATTTCATAGCAACAGAAACTGGATATTTTGGTCCATTTTAACCTTAATTAATATAAAAGGTGCCTGAGTAATGAAATAATACATTAACAAAAAATAGTTATAAATGAGAAATTTGATTAAATTCAATGTAACAAATTTCATGTTTTAATTTGTTAATACGTGGTTACTTTTTGAAAACATTTATTTAAAACGTAGCACTTTATGTGATAGTTTGGCCAACTTTCCTTTGAGCAAATATTTTTTTTTAAATTAAAGAGAATATATTGAATCATAATTCAGCAAAATTGAATTGCCTTTTCAGTTGTCAATAATATTTTTCATGCTTTCAAAGAGCCTATACAATTTTGAGCTTTTACTGTTATGGACTGATGTTTTGATCAATAGAAAATTAAAATTCTTAATTTTAAATTCTTTTTCAATGTTTTATGCAAGGCAATATATCAGTGGAGGTTGGTGAATAAAGTTTATTTTTACATTCAAAATGAATGAACACTGAGCAAACATGGTTTTGAAAGGTTTATTTTCTTCTGTATACAATTACAAACTTATACTCTTCTTGTGGTAAAAGATTGATAAACGGTAAAAATCAAATCAATCAAAAGACCTTTTTTGTGGGACAGATTTCAGTTCATGGTACATTGAAAGAGAGAGAGAGAGAAACAAACAAACACTCCTTCTTTGTAGTAGGCAGTCTTCCTGATTAGTTCTTTGGTGGTTAGAGTAGTGAATCAATCTGTTCAACTTTCAAGTGAAAGAATAGAGAGAAATGACCACAATGTCCTCTTTTCCTGGGTTTATATTGTGGCTGAGGAATGCGGTAAGTATGTGTAGGATTGTGCTTTGCTTTGGTACAGGGTCTTTGATCTTTTTGTTTTAATTTAGTTTCAGAAATGTAGTTAGCTGATTGATCTGTCCTTAAGAATGCTGATGTTAATATTAATAAAGTGTTAAGGAGGTGATAAGTAGGTGATACTTTTCAGGGGGATTTAAGAAATATTTTTATTCTATTGTATTTATTAAACTTAGCTTATTACTACACAAAAAATAAATATAAGTCATTGGAATTAAAAAATTCATCAACATCCCATATAGAAATATTTTTTCTATTTCGAAGGATCTATAATGTCCAAAATACTTAGAATAGAAGCAAAATGAAATCATAAATGACTTATTTGAGTAGAAAGCTACAGAAGTACATTTCATCTTGATATTTTTCTTAAATACCAAAGTTATGAAATGTCGAATTTTGAAAATTTGCTTGCAGCTTGCAATATATAAATTTCAATTTGTCTGTTGTGACTTTGAAAATACGCAAAAATAAATAAATTTTCAAATTCCTTGTACAACTACAATTTCATCAAGTCTAAAAATAGACATGTAAAAGCAGACTTGGTGTTGCCACCATGCGAATGGAGCAGTAAACATATGACTTTCTCAACCAATGAGAATATGACAAAAAATATTAAATTTTGACTTTTGTTTGGAACCTATATCCTGTCTCTATAAGAATGGACCAAAAGTCACACAGTGGGACTCACAGCAAGCACATACAGGAATGCACACATGATGATTCACAGCAAGCACATGCAGGATTTCATACAAGAGTACCTACAGCAAATACATCGAGGAGCACACATGACGCTGAAAAAAGCCTTTCTCATTCAGACACTCATACTATACTGATCAACCCATATGATCTAAAATACTTGCCCAACATCCAACTACAGTGTAACCCGGATATAAGCGAAACCCGGATATAAGAGAGATTTTCTCTGGTCCCAAATTAGAGCCTGTGTTAATGTATATAAAATAGACCAAACCCGGATATAAGAGACTTCTTCTCCGGTCCCGACAACTCTCTTATATCCAGGTTACACTGTACATTGACTGCAGATAAAGAAACATTCTGAGTTACTTCTAGCCACAAATGTATATGCATCCACTCACACATGTACATATCCGTCCTGGGTATAATGATAAACTACATCCACATCCTGGGTAAGACAATAAACTATGTCCAACAGCAAGGCCTCTGATCAGGAGGTTTTGAGGAGTGTGGAACCACTTCTTAATTGCTGGTATTCCCAGGTCTACCATGACCCTGGCTGGTAGCACCTGTTAGGGTCCCAGCTATGGGCAAATAGTTAACCCTCAAACTGGGGTTAAAACACTATGAAAATGTAAATAGGTTTTAATACCAGAAATACTTTGTAAAAAAATTATTACCAGCAATGCACTATTACCAGCAATACATTTTTGAAAACAAAAAATATTACCAGTTATACATTTTTTTTTAATTACTGCCAGAAATAAAAATTGTTGACATTAAATAACCCACTGAGGTTGATATGCTGTAAAACAAAACAAACCAAACCAAACACATGTACATATACACACATATCTTCACACCTACATATATTATGCATACACTCACATATCCGTACATACACAGATATTTGTTTTCCCCCAAAAAAGCAAGCTCTCTCTAACCAATTCTGAGAACACCTTTTCTCTTTTACTTAATTGTTATTTTTAAATTTGCTAGACAATGTTGTTTTATCCTTTGTTTTGGGCATTCAAAGAATCATTCTTTCTTTTGCCTGCTGTTGGTCAAAACATCATCTTCTCTTTTTCCCTAAAAGGATTAGTAGTAAACACTTTCATTCAACCATCAAAACAAAGCCAACAACAATCATATTTTGATTTTTAATCATTTATTCAATTTTCAGGATTGATTTGTTATCTACTGAAATTTAACCAAAATCTAAGATGGTTCTCATGAGATCATCAGTTGGTATGGAATGATCTGTGTGTGTGAGGTGGTGGGGAGGACCAGTTTCTAGTAATTCTAAGAAATGATAAGCTAAAATACAATGAAGAGGTGATCCCATCAATTATCCAAATTTTTATCTATAAAAATCATTGTTAAAAATGAATTAATATTGGTTTGTAATAATTCAGCAAATTTTTATAATTTCAGCATTCTATGAGTAAACTATACCTACAAGTCCAAATTCAGTCAGTTATGTGCCATGCATGATAGACACTTAGGCGATCATGTATCTTTTGATACATGACTGATGAAAATTAAATTGGTAGATTTTTTCCCGCAGTAGGTTGCCATTTTTTTCTGCAATAGACCAGTTGTCATCCAAGGCTATAGAACCCGGTCTGTCTTGCTATTTACCCATAGCTGGGGGAAAAGAAGAGGATTTGTACCTTTCCCAAGGGTATTAGCATGTAAGTGAATGTAAGAGATTCAACTGGAATTCAAACTTGGCTCTCCGATTCCGCAATCTGAGCTACTATCCATTACTCCATCGTCCAAATTAGCAAGTTTTAATGATGATGGTGAATGCTGGATAATCACATCACAGATAAAGAAGAGACTTGAGACAACAGAAATGTGGTTCTATAGAAGGAATATCATGAACTGAATATGTGATCAACAATGAAGTTTTGGAGAAAATGGAAAAAAATCGAAACATACTTGTAATCAGAAAGAGACAGTTGAAATTTCTATGGCATATAAAGGAAAGATGCCATAGAAAATTTGAAGATAAAAGGGACGGAGGAAAGCAACATATAACCTACCTAATAAGCTTATATAAATGGTTGGCAGAACAGGGATTTGGGGGGAATAAACTGTAGATAGCCGCGATCGCCCACGTCCTAAAGGGACACGTATCACAGAAGAAGAACACAATGAATAAGAATGGGAATGATGTCTTTAAAACGAGCCACCAACAATAATAGTAAAGTAATTTAACATTATCTTTAAATAATTTTGATGTCATTTTATTCATTATAATTATTTAAATTACTTTAAATTGAGTCAATTCAATAGCCACTTACTACAATAACTGAAACAAATATCTCACTTTTTTTTATTTTCCAAATATTAAGAAAAATTAATTCGTTTCACTTGTGTTATTTAAAAAAAAATTATTGTGCTTATATTTTTTTACATTTCTGTACGTCCAAATTTTATTTATATTTATTTAGTTTAAATTATTTTTGTTAATGTTAATTAATAATTGAATTTAAAAAAACGGTCTCGGAAGTTACGAAATAATTTTTTTTTTAATAATCAACTTCGTTTCACCTATTTTCTTTTCTTTTTGTTATTCTACTTTTAGATGTACCCACGCGCGGATATCAAAAACAAGTTTAGACATGACAGATAATGTCCTCGTCAACCGACATTCTTTCTCGTTGAACAATTTTAATCACAAGAACCGATTTAAAAAAATCCATTATGTATATCAAACCTTTATTCAAATGATCCTTTAATACTTACTTATTTTACTTTGTTAAGATAACATTTGATTATTTGTTGAAATGATTTGTTTTGAAAAAAAGTTATTTAGTTGTGACGAACGAACTAGACGAAGAGGAAGAAGAATCACTTCACATTAATAATAATAATAATAATAATAAATTTAAAAAAAAAACATTTGGGAAGGCCTTGTTTGGCATATAGCATCATGACTGTGTTTAGTTATTATTCGTTTATCAGATATTTGGAAATTTAACTTCAAAGGCTCAACACGATTCTTCCGTTAAAAAAACAACAAAAAAGGAGATATAATGGCAGAGGATCTGTTTGCTAAGAAGCTTCCCGTTATTATGAGATGCTCGGATCGGGACGAGAGGTTTGTATACAAAATAATTAAAATTATAACCATGTAACATAATTACAAAAACAAAGAGAAGCTCTTTAATTATCTTCTTTAATTAGAGTGAAGATTGTCAATGAAATTCAATTTTTACTTGAGATCTTTCATGTGATGCCGGTTCTTAAATCCAACTAGAAAATGCGAAACTTCAAACATGTCCACTTTTAAAACTGAGCACAAGTTTTGAAAACTAACAATTCTTTATATTGATATTTACATCGTTTGAAATTGTCACGTAATGTTCTTTATAGGCCTTTGACTATATTTTTATTTTTGCTTATATTTGTAATTTTTTTACTTGCTTCTTTCAGCAAAGATAAAGGTTGTAAATCTTTATTCATCAACAAACTTTAAAACGCGAATAAAATCCCTTTAATTCAGAAGAATTCATTCATAATTCAAATGCTTAATTATTCTTTAATTAGGCGCGTATTTACCGAATATACGTTACAATATTTTTTAAATGTGTTAACTAAAAGAAGGTAACTGAATTTCTACTGAGTTAAAAATGCCTTATTTATCGGTTAACTTTTTAAATCCCAATTCTCAGATTTTTTTTTTTTTTTTTTTGTTGAATAAAAAAATTGTATTCGATCATTTACATTTTACAACTATTTTAAAATTAAGTAATTCTCATCACCTCCTCTCTCAGCACATTAATTTAGTTATTTAATTAGCCTGAGTGATGTCAATGGGTGTTTGAGTGCAAGTGTATAATTTAAAAACAATTTCAAATCATTTTATAAATTCGGAGCAATATTTTTATCCACCTTCCATCACATAAGTCACCCTTTAAGAATTTTACACTGGTGAAAGAAAGTATTTCATTTTATTTTATGTATCAAAATTAGAATCCATAGTAAATTATATAATTTTTTTTAATGAGTTTTTAAGATTTTTGATTTTGAATTGAATAGAATCTATGAATGACCATTTTTAATTTTTTAGATGTTTACAGTCAATTTTTACTTAAAAAAAAAAAACACTTTAAAAATTAAATCATGCAAAAAAAGTTAGTAAAATAGATTTTCAGTTGTTTTTTAGCTTTTTTTTTTGTCTTCCTAAAACAACAACATTCTTCACTAAGGGCTTTCATGATTATCTTGAAAGTAATTCAATTGCAGTTCTTAAGCCATTTTCCCTGATGTAAGATTTTATTTAAACAATTTTAACAATTCTTCACTTCGTGAATAACATTGCTCAATAAAGTTATTTCACTACTAATATTCTCCAATTTTGCAAAATTACTATTCAATGAAAAGTCTGGTTTTGTCAGCAAATAAAGAACTTTATGGCCACATGTTCTGCTTGGGATTTATATTTGTAAAAAAAAAAAAAATGTACCCTTAGAAAATAGATGACCATAATTTTTATAGAGGATTTAAAAACAGGTAGGTGCGGTTTCTTTTGTTTTTTTTAATCCATTTCTATACCCTACCTAACCATTCCTAATCATGTCTGCTTCTTGATCAATCTCGCAAAGGTTTACTTTTTAGTAAAATAGTGGAAGTGAAGTCAGTTTTTGTTTTTTATCTGTGTCAATTAATTTAGTTTACACTTTTTTTTTAACAGCTATACAGTTGAAATGCATAAAATGTTGCTTTAGCTGTGAGATTACTTTTTAGTTCCAATTTAAAGATTCGCTAAAAAATGAGAAAGCATGATGAAAAAATGCCCCAAACTTAATAAAAACAAAATTTTATTGTCAAAAAAATCTTTATTATTAATTTAAGGAAAGACCAAAGAATTTTTGACAGAATGTCCTAAAAATTTAATTCGAGTGCGTTCATGCTGTAAAAACAGTATTAATTTAAAACCAAATTTAAAATGTATTGCAATGGTATATGTCCAAAAAAAAGTATTCTCCCAAACATTATTAGCCTTGAACTTTAAAAAAAATCTCTATAAATTACCTCATCCAGGTGTAACCATTTCATATCAACTTTTGAACTATTTAGGCATTTCTTGATACGTGCCCAATATGCTTCTTTGTGATTAGTACAGGCTCCTATTGGATCAAGAAAATTCTTATTATAGTTGATAACTAAATTGTTGAAATCCAAGCACAGCTGACTCATTATAAGTGGCCCATTCATCAGTATGAATGATAGCATCAGGTGCAACACATCACTGCACAATTGGAAGTAAAGTTTTTACCAGGTAGCCCCTTTTTTTTTTTTTAATTCAATATCGTAAAATCCAAAAAAAACATTCTTGATGTACTTATTCTAACATTTTTCTTTCTTTTAAACATCAGAGATTCATCAATCTCTACAATAAAATCAATTCAACAATTTCTTTAAAGGAAGATGAGACGGTGCATCTAACAACATTCCACCAGATTTTTTGATTACTAAATTAAATTTTTTTAAATTCTTTTTAGAACCATCGAAATTTTAGTTAAAAATGTTTTTTTTTTTCATCTGTTATCTCCCACCCCCGCCTCCACAATCATTTAAATCGTTATGAAATTTCAAGAAATTATTTTTTTTATTGCTTAAATGTTTATTAGTTAAGGACAAGTCCTTGGAAAATTTAAAAACCAGAGTTTTTTTGTCAAACAGGACCCTCAGTTAGAGAAAATCTGCTCTGAATTCTTAAATAAATGCAATGAACATATTTAATTAAAATGCTTTTAATTACTTTCATGAATAAGATTTTTTACAAGAATTCTCTTCATTTTTAAAATTTTAATTATGATTTATAAAGTTTTAAATCTTTTAAAATTCTTTATTAATTTGTAGTTGTTAGGTGATATTGCTATTAAGTAAAAACTATACTTACTAAATATATAAATGGAAAATCTTACTACAATTTAGCACCCCCCCCCGCAGCATTTTAAAAAGAATTTTGAATTCTATAGTGTATGTACAAATGTGCCAATAAATATGGATGTCTGTATACAACATTATCAGAAAATAAGATTTGTAATTATAGTAAAATTAAAATTTATTGGTAATTTTCTAACATTTCCTCAAGTGTCCTTGTAAGTAAGACTATAAAGTTAAAGTACCTAAAATTTAATAAAATATTAGATTATTTAGAGTATTTTCCTAAGATTACTGAGTAGTTAAAAATATTAAAATGTGTTTACATTGTATCTGTCAAGGGCACCTCGAGGTGGTGTAATGGTTAGCAAGCTTGTCTCACTAGAACAATTACAACTGAGTCATGAGTTCGATCCTCACTGGGTACCCCATACTTTCGGCCTTGTGCCACATCTAAGCTATGCTTGGAAAATCACTACATTGTATCTGTCAAGTAGTTTTTACAGTTATGTACCCTTTACTTAAAGATGCCAAATATTAAGCTTTGACAGATACAAGATTACTAAAATCACCTATCTTGACAAATGTACTAACACAACATAATTCTCTATTAAAAATCTTTCAAAAATAAAATATACTTTTATGAAACTTTATTTGAGGTAGATTAATCTTAATTAAAACAAATATTACTTTTAGTTTAAAATATCACATAAAAGAATTTTTTAGCATGAAGGTGGATATTTTAGGAGGTGTGTCAAAGTTAGTACATTTGTCAATATAGGTGATTTTAGTAACAAAAAATTCTAATCAATTTAAATTCGGTTTGAAATACAGCAAAGTATTTTGCTTATTGGAAATATTACATTTAATCTATTAGCTTGGGATTAAAACTGAAATAAAAGCTTCAAGAAATATTTTTTCATTTTTAAAATGCGTTTTTTTTTTTTTTAATACCAAACAAAACTTGACACCTATTCAGTTTGAATGTAAGTACACTTTTATTTTGAGCAGAAAGGAATGGCATTTCCCCCCACAATATATATATATATATATATATATATATATATATATATATATATATATATATATATACGCACACATTTCAATCTGTTTTGAATCATCATTTCAAAAGAATATTTTTATATAACCAACTTTATTGAAATGTTAATTATAAACTTATCATTAAAAAAATGTAATTTAAAAACTGTTAGATTTTAAATGTAAATTAAGGAAATCTTTGTTGATAATTGATATTTCCTGAATAATTGTGAAAACCTTTTCACTATTTTAACTAAATATTATACTTGAGGTATTGTAACTACAACCAATCTTTTAAGAAAAAGATTTTTTGTTTCATCATTCTGTACATACTTATCTAGAAAAGCCATCTTAGTACTGAATGCTCCATTATTTCGATGCCACTTTTTCTTTTCTCATTAAGACTCCTTGTTTCATATGAGTAAAAATAACATGATTTGTAATGTTAGTCCTCATATTATTTTCATAGCCTAAAAGAATAGATCAAAAATTATCAATGGATGACTGCTTGGGAATATCAAGTGTTGTAAGTTTGGATGTGCAGGTGGTGTAATGGTTAATGGCTTGAAATTGTTAATTGGAGTTCCAATTCTAGTTGGGTTAGTTGTATTCACTTACATGCAAATACCTTTGGGGAAAGTTATGAATCCATCTCTTCTTAGCTATGGGTTAATTTGTATGACTTGTATCACTAAATCATTATTACCTCCAAAAAAACTCTTACAATCTAAAAACATTTTCTGGCTTTAAACAACCTACAAATGATTGATAAGCCATAAAAAAATGAATCGATAAAAAAAAATATAACAATACAAGAAAAAACATGTTTAATTTCTTCTGATTAAACAATAAATGAAAAAAAGATTTACATTATTTTACCCATATGTATTTGTTACCAAAAATATGTTGATACCCAAAACAAATTATGTACACCCTTAGGTTGGTAGAGTGTCTGGGTGCACAACATTAGTATTTATCCTACGGTAATCGTTCTGGGTAAGACGTTAAACTACGTCCAGCAGCAAGGCCTCTGGTTAGGAGGTTTCGAGGTGCGTGGAACTAGCTCTTAATTGCTAGTGTTCCCAGGTCCACCCTGACCCGGGGTAGTAGCACCTACTAGGGTCCCAGCTATGGGCAAATAGTTAATTATTACCAGCAATACAATTTTGA